TAAAATTTTAAAAAAGTTATAGAAAAGACTAAAGGTAAAAATTAAAAATTCAAATAATTCAAATAAAAAAAAAGACCAATACTAAATACTTTGCCTGTTTTGATACGCAAGCGAAACTGATTACATTAGTTTATGGAAAATAGTTTTATTATTTTATATGAGAAATTTTTTTTGTTATATTTATAATATATGAGCGAGTCTCATCTTAATTTTTTTGTCTTCTTACCTTTTTGTAGATCTCACTTATATATTATGTGTGTAATATAAGAAAAAATTTCATGTAAAATGAGAAAATTAATTATCTTAATTTATAGATATTTTGTCAAGTACATTAATTTCGTATTTATTATTTAAATTTAATTTTTTTTAAAGTAATAGAGGAACTGTTTATTTATTTCCTGAAGCTTCCGGATTCTGTAATTACTGCATTTGAATAAAGACACTGCGAGGCTGTGGTGACTGATGAGATGAGTGACACTCCCTGTAATTGTATTAATATGTAATGGTAGCTGTGTGTTGGCATGTCGTAGGAGTTAGAGTGAGGAGCGGTGGGTGCTCTTTCAAAGTACACATATCAGTCTTTTTAACTTTTACAGAGAGAGCCCTGAACGTCCCTGTACTTTCCCTGCATCACTGTTTCACATTGCCAAGGAATACTATTTAATAATTACTTAATTACCATCTTTCTTACTATCATTGTTTCCCATTTATTATGTTACTGTATTTACGTCCTTCGTTGTCTGTTTCCTTTATTATTCTTCCTGCTTTGTATAAAGCTAAAAGCCTCAGTGAGATTTTCTCTGATTCTGTAACATAATAGTAAAATCATTCATAAATCTCTGCACCCTACCGTTCTCTTTAATTAATCTTTAGAATTCTTTGTCTTTGTCACTATAAATAGTAGACGAGAGATATTCTTATTACCAAATTTTTTTACTACCAACTCATTACCTATCTAATCACCATTGGATCAACATTTACTCTTTTTTCAAAAACTTTTTAACATTCTCTCTCTTTGATTCAATGGTGATTAGATAGGTAGTAAGTTAGTAGTAGAAAATTTTGGTAGTAAAAATATCCTACCTCTAAATAGTAATACAGGGTTTTTTTTTTTAAATTACTTTAGATAACTTTATCGAAACGACGTCGTCTTGAAACAGAAATCATGGTGTTTTTGTAATTTTAATTTATTTCAGAGTTATGACAGTCTTTATCATTCTAATTTTTTAGTTTTTCAACTCCAAAACGACGTCGTTTCGATGAACATTAGACAAAGTTATCTAAAGTAACATCAGAAACTTTTTTCCCATAAATATATGTGTTTAGTATTTTTTATAGGAAAAAAATGTTTCTGCAGTTAATGCAGATAAGTTATCTGCATTTATTCCCAAAATGACGTCGTTTCGGTATTGAAATCTTAAAAAATTATAAATATAAAGACTATTATAACCCCAAAATAAATTAAAATTACAAAAACACCATCATTTTCGCCCAAAACAACGTCGTATTGGGCTTACTGCAGATAACTTATCTGCAGTAACTGCAGAAAAAACGAACTTTTTTTATATTATAGGAGATAAACTTTTTTATAAACATATGAAAATATATAATATATATTTTCTTTTTTTCTTCTCTTTATATAAACCCAGATAGACTCCACATACATATATGTGTATATAAGAGATAAATTTATTTTCTACAATATGAGAAATGATAAATCCTAAATATATATAGATAATTTACATTTTAGAGGAATTAAATTGAATTGAATTGATTTTTTTTGTTGTTGCAAAAATTGAATTCTAATTTCTAATCATGGGTGCACTACTCGTAGATATGCATGGATTCCATGATTCATCCACAAGATTTCCTGAATTGATCAATTATTGAAATCACTGTTTAATATTCTGTCCCTGGTGCGCGGGTCCAGTCTCTTACTTTTTATTTCAATATTTAATAGTAAATAAGTAATATAAAAAATTGAGATATAATATAACAAAATTATAATACTAATATTATATTTTATAATAAAATGAAAATGAAAATGAAAATAATTTAATAAGAATTATAGTTTTTTATAAAACAATTCTATCTCATAAACTTAAATCAAAAGAAGTAAAAATAAGAATACTAAATAAAGTGATATAAAATAAACTTTGTAAAATTGTATTTTATTTTATTGTAAAATAAAGTGATTAAGAAACTCAATTAATAATAACTAACAATATTTTATTTTATTTTTTCCCTCCTATCCACTTGCAAGCAATGTTCTTAAAATTGAAATCTTAAGTGAAATCGGATGAGGATTAAAAAATCGTAAAACGTAAAATCATAATGTAAAAAAATCGTAAAAAATTGTAAAAACGTAAAAGCGTTTGGAATATTAGTAAAATCATTTTGATGAAAAAAAATTATAAAAACGTAAAATCGTAGTGATAAATCGAGATTTTAACAACAATGCTCGCAAGGACTCTTTGTCGGACGTCGAAGCTCATGGATGCCTACAAAGAGAAGCAAACAGTAGGATATATTTATAAAGAATTAATTCAATCAAAAAGTTTTAGTGGTTGAGTGTAGTTATATTAATGATTTTATATTTCTTTAAAATATTTTTTCACACGAGAGTTCATTAGACTTAAAGAGTGGATGATGCATCAGGTCCAACTTATTTGTGAAATTTTTTTATAATATTTAATTATTTTTATTAATAGAACAGAAGATAACAAGGATCAAACTCATAATACCGAGATTCTAATACCATATAAAGAACCAATTCAATTTAAAAGCTTAAGCTATTAGATAAAGCTATTATTTAATTTAATAAACAATTCAATTTTCTATTGAAAAATTATAAAATTTATCTTATCATATAGTATATAAAATTTATATTTAATTTATTATATATATATATATATATATATATATATATATATATAAGAACTTAAATGCATGTTATATTAAAATTTTTAGTATAAATAGTACTAAAATATATTACCAGTGAAACATTGAAAAGTTAAATTAAATAAGGGTTTTATTAGTGTTATGTTATATGATTTAAGTGTTGTTTGCAACACACACAAAAAAATGGAGAGAGAAAGTGGAATGATGAAAGAGAAAGAAAAATATGTGGACCCCACCTCTTTAATGTGTGTGTAGAAAAGTGATGTTATATCATGTTACATGTTAAACATAAAACCCATTAAATAAAGAGTATTCAAATATTTTTCATTAAAATAGATAAAAGTAAGATTAAAAGATAGTATTATCTACAAAAAAAAAAGTAGAAAATAGTGCTTGATGGGTAATATATTAATGTACTTTTTATTTATTTAAAATAAATGTATAATAAAATACGTATTTTTTAATCCATTAAAAGCTGATACACTTTTGATTGCTATCTGTTAAACAATTTAGGAAAACAATATACAAAAGAATAAAAAATGAAATTTGAAAGGTAAAAAATATTAAATGTCAATAAAGATAAAAGTGAGGGAAATAAAAAAATAAATACTTACCCAAGTGTAGTGGCTTAGTTGGTAGCATGGGGACTGAGTGGTGGGAGAGGACTTCGGTTCGAATCCCACCAACACTATCTGGAGAAAGACATAAGTACCGTAATTCTCGGATTCGTATCCGAACTCTGGATTTGTCCCATGGCGACTCAAAGAGTTAAATCCGTGAAGATATCGAGAAATTCTGATTTGCTTCAAAGAAGTAATTATGATCAATTTCAAAGAATAAAAAAAATACTTTTTATAAAATGAAAATCTTAAGAGAATATCATGTGATAATTAAATGGAATACGTTTTATATTATATATAGATAGATAATGAACTTACCCCCTCTGCAATAAACCATAGGCTATGACGGAAAGCTGCCGGTTAGTTAGGCTTTCACCGTATTGGGTGTAAACGCTTAAAACCAATTCGGGATATTTTACGTACTAAGTAAACTCCACTCCCTGAGAGATAGAATGGAAATTAAAAATTAACCAGATTGTTCAATTTTTCACGCGTGGTTTTGCTTTTGCGGCTACGATTATTCAAATCAGATGATCATATTCAGAGAGGGAAAAAAATTTTGTACTCGCGGCCCACCACTCACTCAGTGTCCTTAATTCAAAATATGATTTCATTTAAATTCTTTTATTTTTTTATAATTCTCTCTTAATTTCTACTCTTTTTTATTTTTGAAAGGGAGTATCGTGCTTCTAGAGCACCAAAAAATCACTCGTAAAAGAGATAATCCATTAAAGGGAGAAAAATTTCAATTCAATGGGATTATTAAATTTGGTGTTTTTTTTATTAAAAAAAAATTAAGATGAATAATTTTTTTTAATAAAAAAACACACCAAATTTAATAAGCGTTTTATTATTGTTACGTTATATGATTTAAGTGTTGTTTTCAACACACACAAAAAAGTAGAGAGAGAAAGTGAAATAATAAAAGAGAAAGAAAAACATGTAAATCCCACCTCTTTAATATGTGTGTAAGAAAGTAATATTATATCATATTACGTAATAAACATAAAACCCATTTAATAATCCTGTTAAATTGAAATTTTTCTACACAAAAGGACTCACTTTTGGTCGTTTAAGTACACCTCGAGTTGATTCATGTTATTACATAAATGGAACAGCGCGAGCATATCCCATATATGAGCAAACAAACACACACACACAAAAAAATAACTGTCAAATCAAAGGTCAAACCACAACCACGCAATGGACCGGTTTACATCCTAATAATGCCTACGTGGCAACATATAGTCGGATATGGGGTATCCTCATAAGAGAAAAGAACTAAACTAACTAGTTCGGTTTCAAGGAAGATGAACCCAACTAGTCTCGGGAAAAACACAACCCAATCCGATTCAAATCAAAATCATGCCAAAGGGTATTTTCGGAATTCCAAAAACCTCTATGATTTCTTCTTTTTCTCCACTCAAACAGTACCACATTCCTTGCACTTCTCACTTTCCAAACCCAAGCATAACAACCATGGATCCCGACGCCTTCACCACCAGCCTATTCAAGTGGGACCCACGCACTGTCCTTCCTCCTCCTGCCGCCGCGGCGGCGGCTAACCGTTCCCCGCTTCTGGACTACGCGGTGGCTCCTCCGATGGCTCCGGCGGCGGCATACCATCCAGTGAGAGGGCCTCGGGAGCTTGGAGGGCTGGAGGAGTTGTTCCAAGCTTACGGAATCAGATACTACACGGCGGCGAAGATAGCGGAGCTTGGTTTCACGGTGAGCACGCTGGTTGACATGAAGGAAGAGGAGCTCGACGACATGATGAACAGCCTCTCCCATATTTTCAGGTGGGACCTCCTCGTCGGAGAGCGATACGGCGTCAAAGCCGCCGTTAGAGCCGAGCGAAGACGCATCAACGACGAAGAGATGAAGCGCCGCAACCTTCTCTCCACAGACACCACCACCAACGCACTCGATGCTCTCTCTCAAGAAGGTTCGCTTACATTTATTTATTTATAGCTACGCACTTCGGTGTAACTGTTTGCATATATTTTAAGGTTTTAAATTTTCATTTGTTGAGTTTATAGTTATTTTGACTAAATTCCTGTCTAGCTAGTTATGGCAAGGAAAATTTACACTTCAAATTTTTAAAACAAGCTACTTTGACTAATTTATTTCTACTGTTATATTAAACTACTGTTCTAACATAAAGTCGCTAGTATATAATTGACGATTATCAACATATGTATAGGTTTGTCGGAGGAGCCGGTGGTGCAACGAGAAAAGGAGGTGGTGGGAAGCGCGGGAGGGAGCACGTGGGAGGTTGTTGCGGCGGAGGAGAGGAGGAAGCAGCAGCAGCAGAGGAGGAGGAGAAGGACGAGGATGAAGACAAATATTGATGATCGTGAAGATCATGAGGAAGGAGAAGAGGATGAAGGAGAAGAAAATGATGAAGGGAATAACAATGGTAATGGTGTTGGTGGTGGGGGCTATGAGAGGCAAAGAGAGCACCCTTTCATCGTTACCGAGCCTGGGGAGGTTGCACGTGGCAAGAAGAACGGTCTAGATTATCTCTTTCACCTCTACGAGCAATGCCGTGAGTTTTTGATCCAAGTTCAGGCCATCGCCAAGGACCGCGGTGAAAAATGCCCCACCAAGGTAAAATACCCTAATTACCCCCTCCCACACTTCATTTCATTTATTTATCTTTTAACTCTCTTTCCAATCCCAGTCATATACTCTATCTTCTGACTCTGACTCTGACTCACTCTGTTTACTGACTTGTGATGTTCCTTCACGAACCGTTTTAAATAATGTTGCGTTACAACGTGTTCCACGGAACACGTGACAAGTCAGGGACTCTCTCGTGAGGAGTAAATTATAAGTGTCCGTACAGTGAAGTAAATTATCACCCGCCAGTCAAAGACATGCATGTCCCCCCGTTACTCCTTTCCTTACACACTGGATTATTGCATGCCATCATAAGAATCATAATGTACTCGTTCCCTCAATCGACGCGTGTCCATGAATTGTGGATTCTGTTAATTTGACGTTACGGTTAATTATTCATTAATTCCTACTTCATATATACGAATAATATACGAACGAACTATACAATGTGTACGAGTGCAGGTGACAAATCAGGTGTTTAGGTACGCGAAGAAGGCTGGAGCTAGCTACATAAACAAGCCCAAAATGAGACACTACGTGCACTGCTACGCATTGCATTGTCTTGACGAGGAGGCGTCGAATGAGCTGAGAAGGGCTTTGAAGGAGAGAGGGGAGAACGTTGGAGCGTGGAGGCAAGCATGTTATAAGCCACTTGTGGCAATCGCAGCACGTCAAGGTTGGGACATTGATGCCATATTCAATGCGCATCCTCGTCTTTCAATATGGTACGTCCCGACAAAGCTCCGTCAGCTTTGTCATGCCGAGAGGAACACCGCCGCCGCTTCGAGCTCTGTCTCTGTCGACAACAACGTTCATCTTCCTTTCTAAATCTCTACCCTAGTAATAGATGTATCTTGTGTAGAGCCTCATGACACCGAGGTTTTGAAATGAAGGACATGGACTTTTTCTAGTTATGAAATTCCTCTATTAGGTATCTTTATGCACCTCATAGATTACTTGCTTTTTACTTTTGCATTACTGGACATTTATCATTTTATCATCCATTAGGTGATGTTTGTTACATGGATTTTATTTGGAATCCTGAGAAAGTGGGTTGACGAAAATAATGTTTCTACGTTTGGTAAGTGGAAGAGCAAAAATATGCCCTGAAATTTTTTTCTCTCTTGCTTTTATTTTACACTACCGATTCCCAGATCAAAATACCATCAAAACCATAGTATTTTTTTTTTCCTCAGGCGGTGAGAATGTTTTGTAACTTTTTTGGGATATGACTAACCCTGCGTCGTCTTCTTCGTTCTATTCTTTCGTTCTTGGTTCTTTTTTGGTTGTGGGTGGTTCCCTCTTTCAGTTTCAGAAAAGAGAGTCATCCAATGGAAAAAGGAAGAAGAAACAAGAAAGAAAATAAAAACACCAGTTTTGATTTTCTTCATTTGGATTATATTTTCTTCAATCGGAAATTTAGCGGCTATTTGATCCTTTTACCTTTCATTAATTAATTAATAATCATTTTATCTTTTATTTAAAATTATTCATAATCTGCTTCTCTTTAATCGATTAACTTGAATATTTAATCGATTAAATGATCAAAACATGTAAAAATGGTTGACTCGAAATTTAATCGATTAAATCTCCTTCTTTAATTGATTAAGAGGGATATTTAATCGATTAAAATTTATATTTAATCAATTAAATATCCCAAATGAGCATGAAAACATTGATTGAATGAGACAAACAAGGAAAACTCGTTGGTTTATTACGTAGTGAGAACCAATCTTGATTTATTAATGCATTTGAGTTGTTCCCTGAATCCAAATTTTCACATAATGCTCGCCAAGTGACCTTTGGCTCCCAACTCAGACCTGCCCCTAGTTTAAGAACATCCTAAAGTATGATTGGTTCACCTTTAATCCAACGCTGTTGGAAGAGAAATAGCCCTTCTTCTGGCAAATCACTTGACATTGGACGATATATGTTATTATCATTCGTGCCATCTTTAAAAGCAGCTCTTATCATAGATTTGTTGCTTAATATTGTTTATTTCTGAAGAGTTTTATACTCAATTTTGCAAAAATTCTTTAGAATGTCACGAGTTTTGGCTTCCAACTCAAAATTCATCCATGCATGTACTCACCTCTGAAGTCCCTAAATCACAATATACTGGTTGAGGATGACCACCATGCATGTACTCACTGCCCTTATTAACATATTCAAACTTCATTTCAGGCCGAGGTGAAATACTTTCATTTCGTATTTCTTCACAGCAAGTAAGACAGATTTCAAACGAACACTTAGGGCAGACAAAACTTAACCATTATAGTAAACTAAACTTTAATCATCCCCTTTGAACGTAGCGAGTTTTCCTTGTTCCTCTCATTCAATCAATGTTTTCACGTTCATTTGGGATATTTAATCGATTAAAGATAAGTTTTAATCGATTAAATATTCAAGTTAATTGATTAAAGAGGGATATTTAATCAATTAAATCTCGAGTCAATCATTTTTGCCTATTTTGACCATTTAATCGATTAAATATTCAAGTTAATCAATTAAAGAGGGGCATGTTGGTAGATAGTTCTGGGTAATGGGCAAAATGATTATTAATTAATTAATGAGAGGCAAAAGGGTCAAAAAACCCAATTTAGCGACTAGAAACCAGCTAACAAACTAACTAGTGTGATTTGACTATTTTGTTTCAGACAAACTAAGTTGTGTACAACTTTTGATTATTCATTGGATTTTTTGAATTTTTTGGGAGCATTTTGGCACAACATGTGCTGAATTATTTGGAAGCACACCATTTTTGGGGTTTTTTGTGTGCAACATGCACTTCACTTGTTCTAGTTATTGATTTGTAATGTTAAAAAACGAGGTGAGGTTATTTTTGTAAATTCGGTTCACATTTGTAGTAATATTTTACAATTGGTCAAACATAATATCAAAAAAATTAATCTAATATTTTTGGAAAAAATTTGGTCTATCAAACAACTTTTTGGTAATATTCATGAGAAAGAAAAATTTCCATCATATTCCCAAGTAAAAAAAAATTTCCTCTACTCTTAATTCCTCCTTTATTTTTCTTTTTAATATATATGGGTTAAGAGAAGATTTTTTTTGAATGACAAACATCACATGGTGGGGTCCGGTTAAAAAAATATATTGATGTAATATATATATATATATATATATATATATATATATATATATATTTATCTATCTGTGTGTGTGTTTTTATTTATTTATTAGTATTATAATATCTCATATAATTTGAGCTGTGAAATGCTTTTTATATTTTCTTTTAACATAAACAATATTCTCCAGTTAACTTTTAAGTTAATCGAGTTCATATTTATCTTTTGGATGTCAAGTAGGAATGGTAAATTTATCTTTTATTTAATTATTTGATAACAGGGTTATGTTGCGTAGAAGAGAAATATTTAAATAAACTTACTTTGTTTTATTGGTTCTAGTTGTATAATAACATTTTATTCGGACAATAGTTGAATCCGATCCTATGAAAAATTCAAAAAGTGGAGAAGCAAAATTTCAAGTGATGAATCTAGAATGCACACCAAAGGAAGGTGCAAAAATTGAAGGATTGATATTTGATATGGACCTATGACATGCAAAATAGAGGCTCAATGGCTGAAAGGCCCAAAGAACCCCTGCAACATAGCCATAAAGGCAATTCATCTCGCACTGGAAGCATGGATCTTGCTCCAGACTTGGCCAACAAGCTAAACATGGCTTACCCTGAAAGGAACCATCATTGCCAGAGTAGCAGCTCAGGCAACTTGGCCATTAACAGGAACCAGTGAAGGGATAACAGCTCTAGCTTGCCATCTCACATACTAAATTTACTATTGAATATAGGCTTGCCCACCATGGAATAGCTTGATAGGTCACCCCTCTCCACCAATAAACGTGAATATCGTTTTATGAAAGACGGTGTAAATACAGAGGCTTTAAGCCCATGTATGATATCTCTATTTGAATATTTGAACCTCCTTCAATATTGAACTGACTTAAGCATTGGAATGCCTTTGCAGGTACCCTTTAGTCGTTCTCAAATAGCCCAGATATGCTAAAGTGTTGTCCAAACATCTCGCAAGGCGCTCATCCATCTCGTCAAGCACCTAACATCTCAGCAACAATATTCTCGTCAATCAACATCATTTCACTTCAATTGTGTGTGATTTGGCCCAACCCACTTTGACTTGGCTGATCATTGGCGGCGTTTGTGGGGAATGATAATTTTGACTCTCACTCCATACAAATAAAAAACATGGTTGATATCAGGAGTAAGATGTCCAAATCTCAAAACGTCTCCAGAAGGAAAAAGCAGGGAAGGTAGCCATCTCGCTAAAGAACTGCCTCTTTCGCAGCTCCGATTTTGCCTCAGCGAGATAATCCACCCACAAATGAGCAAATCTTAGAGCTCCTCAAGTAAGAAACTAAGAAGATTGAAGAGCAACAGAAAGAGCTACAAAAATTGAAAAAATCACAGGTTGAGCATGAAAAGTAGCTTAACAAGAATGAAAAATATGATGAAAATGAACATGAATCAGGACACTCTATAAAAGACCCTGGTTCATCCAAAAAAGAAAAACAAAAGATGGAGGACCATGAGGCGAACCATCATGTAGATCAAAAATCCGATCAGAATCCAAAAATAATGTCAAAAGTGGCTCACCATGTAGATCATGCATCTACCTATTCCGAGGGACATAAAAATCACTATACAAAAGTACAATGGAAAATGAGACCCTTTGGAACATCTGGAGCAGTTCTAAACAAATATGATGGCCCAGGACGATCATGATGTTATAGGTTGTCGTCTTTTCTCAACAACATTGAAAGAAGTTGCTCTCAGGTGGTATTAAGCTTTGCCACCAAACTCAATCAACAATTGGGAAGATCTCACCAACCAGTTCTTAGTGAGTTTGCCACAAGCAAAACTCAATACAAATCCACGCATGCTCTTAAAACTATAAGGTAAGGTGTTAATGAAACCATATGTGATTTCATCAACAGATTTTTTGACGAAGCCTTGTTGGTAAGAGATCTTGACCCTCAAGTCTCTTTGCATCTTATTATTGATGGTCTACAAGAAGGATTATTTTCCATGTCTCTGGCCAAGCAAAGGCCGAAGACTATTGAGAAATTACGAGCGAGATCCGAGAAATTTATTAATCTCGAGGATTATAAGCGATCCTGAGAAGTCGCAAGTGAAAAAGCTACAACCAATGAATTTAAAAGAGATTTTCAAAGGAGGTTCAAGGAGAGGAAAAAGTATGTAATGTTTGAAAATTATACATTTTTCAATACTTCTCGATCTCACATTTTCAAGGAAGTTTTCCAAACTAGTTTTGTCAATGTCACCAAGTCTCATTTACCTAAGAAGAGAGGTAGACTTGGTGAGACAAAATTTTGTGAATTTCACAAAGACATAGGTCACTCCACTGAAGATTGTTTTGATCTTAAAAATATAATTGAGGCTTTGATTAGAGAAAGTAAGTTTAAAAAGTTTATTGCTAATTGTAAACAAGATAAAATTCAAAGGAAGCGGGATAGAAGTCCCGATCAGGATAGGAATCCTCCTAGAAGAAATTATCAAGATAGGAGGAATTACAGACAAATGAATAATATGTGAGATGACACACACTAGCTATGGGCGTTATGACAGACCTAGGGAGAGGTCCCCACGTGAAAGGAGACAAAATGAACAACCTGCAGCACGAGAGAACAACCAACGTCAGTTGCCTAATAATGCTGCTGGAGTGTTGGGAACTATTGCGGGAGGTGCTACAGGAGGGGGAGAAAGCTATTCCCAGAGGAAAAGGCATCTCAAAACCATCATAACTGTCAACAATCATCCAAAGGCCCCATCTTGCCCAGTTAAGAAAGCGCTCATAAGTTTTGGCGAAGAAGACTATAGCGAAAAAGTCTTTAAACATGATGATTCGCTAGTCATCTCTGCCTAGATGGCAAATTTACAAGTAAAAAGAATCTTCGCTGACAATGGAAGCTCTATTGACATAATATTCTGGGAAGCCTTTAAAGGTATAAACATCCCAGAGCAACAAACAACACCTAGCCAGATTTACTTGATGGGATTCTCAGGTGAATGCGTGCAGCCCAAAGAAACGATTGAATTACAAGTAACATTTGGAATCCTCCCTAAAGCAAGATTAATCAAGGTACACTTTTATATTATTGATTGGTTGTCTGCGTATAATGTTATCATAGGCAGACTAACTGATGGTCCTCAAAAGTTGAGGTCCATTAAGTATATATCACTCCACAAAACCCCTGTTTTGATCACAAATCCCTCTCTTTAACCTTCTTTTTCCATGAAGAGCAATTGTCTTGAAAAGTGGACCAGAGCAATTCTTGAAATGGGAATTAGAGTAGGCCTAGAGCAAATTGACATTATCTTTTTCACATATGATTATTGGATCAGGAAACCTGAGACCTAACAGAAGGGCCCACACATTAAGGAAAAGAAGGACGAATGCTGCGCAGGAGGGAGCATAAAAGCCTGCTACAGTACAAAAGCAGTAAAAAGCAACAATCAGGAGCCTCCACGTCAGCCACAACAGAGAAGGTGGAGGTGTCTCTCTGATTCCGAAATTCTCACCCGAGAAAAAGCACCAAAAGCAAGGGAACCACTGCCATGCAGAGCTGAGCTGGCAGAGAGCAGACCGGCTATTGGAGAGGATTTGAAGAAGGCACAGCCCTTGATGAAAGGGACGATGAGGATCTGACAGAAGAACTCTATAAAAGGAAGAATCAATCTTCATGAGAAGGAATCGGGACACCATTCGCGGGCTTGCCATTTATTTTTCCTGATATTTTTCTTTTGTAATGCTCACTAGGAGCTAACTTCTTCTAAGTAGGTGAGGGTTCCATAGAAGTAATCCTTTTTGTCTTAGGATAACTTTGTAAGGAACACATATTTTATGAATGAATTTTGAGCTGTTCTTTGGTTTAATATATTGATTTTGTGAAACCCTTTGGGCTGGCAACCTCATCCCGGGACCACTCGGTCGATGAAACACTGACAAAGGCGTGCAGAGAAGTCTCAAGATCTTGGGGTAGTTCAGCCTGAAGAAAGGAGGGAGGAACACCTGGAATGAAGAACACTACCATGTGAATCCATGCTCTTTTGAGAAGGCAACATGGTTTCCTTGAATTTAACTCTAAGGATGTGTTTGGTACAGGAGAAATTTTTTGGTGACCGGGAATCATGATTAATGGGAATTCAGTAGAAATTGAGTTTACTTGGAATCTTACGAAAGATGTGTTTGGTTCGCCAAAATATTACCGGGAATACTGGGTAAAAATTACTGATTCCATATTTGGTTTAGAACGAAATATGACTTGGAATATGAAGTTATTTTACAAAAATAACCCCAAACTATTTTTACTTTTGTAATTGATAGATTGGGTCTAGATTTTTATGTGTATTGGGGTATTTTTGTCTCAAAATTTATTGTTGTGCTTTCCCTTTACTTGGTATTCTGATTGGTATTTCGAATTACCATATTATTTTTGGTAATCTGAATAGTGACTTTTCTTTATAAATCAAATTACCGGTAATCCTTGGATATCCGGGAATCGTAATTTATTCCTTCTACCAAACGTGGTAATTACATTTACCAAAGAAGGATTACCGGTAATCCTCTCCAAAAACTTGAACCAAACACCCCCTAAGTTCTACGGAGTAGAATGAGGGGTAAGGCCTTGCTCTTTTACTTACTTGTGGCAAAACGATGAAAGGAGCAGAATCTATTTTTAAAATATGCTACCAAGCAGGGTTAACCAAAGGGATGAAAATATGGAACCCGAAACACCTACTTAACTCTTTATAAACTCAATCTCACATCAAACTTTTGTTATAACTTTCTTCACGACAACCAAATTGTTCTTATCTGTTGCTGCTTTTATAATTGCTTCACTAATTTCTTTTGAGTTACTTCAATTTGATGCCTTGATATTCGATGACTATGCTAAGTTATTCACTGCTCTCATCTAGTTCAGAACGGTTAACACTGTTTAACTAGCTGGCTAGAGATTGCTCCTTGTGAAGCTTGGTTGAGAATAACTACTTTCCTTTCATTTTTCTAGAATTAAGTTTCCCTGAACGATTCTTTCTTGACAACTGCTCCCTGAGGACGATAAATCTGGGGCTAACAACACCCTGTATTGCTTGACAGGTACGCTTGCGTATAGTTAAAGAGGGTTGCTCTCCGTCAGAGTAGATTGCTCCTGTTTGCAATCTCGATTATCGCTCTGTATTATTGCTCCTTAAAAATATCCCTGAGCAGCTCTCGGTTCGACCAAGCAATTGGCGCCGTTGCCGGGGATCATTTGGCAAGAAATGGCTTTTTTTTAAGGAAACATTGTTGTTTGTGTTTTTGAAATCTTTTTTGTTTTTATTGTGTTTGACTTCTTCCTATTGTATGAGCACAGAACCTACAGAACTTGGACTGGAAATAGTACATTTTGATCCAGAACCCGAGAGAACCTGCAGAAATAGAAGAAGAGTTCAAAGGTTAAGAAATAATACAATGGAGGAAGTTCTAAATAATGGTGAAAATGGTAACAATGAAAATAATAATCATGAGAATGAAGAAGGACAGAATGGAGGAAGAGGGCCATCGTTGAATGATATGGCTGCTCCCTTCAGAAATGGTCCAGAACGAGGCTATGTTCCTCCTCCTCTGGATGTCCCTAACTTTGAAATCAAACCTGCAATGTTCCAAATGATTATGAATGCTGGTCAATTCCATGGATTGCCTATGGAAGACCCCCACAGTCATTTGGACAACTTTACTGAGATAGTTGATAATTTCAAAGTTCATGGTATCTCAGAGGAAAATATGCGAATGAGGTTGTTTCCATTATCCCTAGCAGGAAAAGCCAAAGAATGGAGGAGAACATTGCCTCCAAATTCCATCACTAGTTGGGAGCAACTAGCTGAACAGTTTGTCACCCGATTTTTCTCCCAAGCAAAACAAGCCCAAGTGAGGGCTGATATAGCATCTTTCCAAATGTATGATGGAGAAAGTCTTTATGAAGCGTGGGAGCGCTTTAAGGAATTAATACAAATTTGCCCAAATCATGGAGTTTCTGATTGGGGCATTATTCACACGTTTTATCATGGCTTAACCCCACCATTGAAAGCCACTGTTGATGCGGCTGCGGGGGGAGATCTTTTGGATTTTACTTATCCGGAAACCTACCGGTTGTTGGAAAAACTTTCAAAAAAACATGTTCAATGGCCTTCCACACGGTACAATGCTTCCAAGAAAGCAGGAGTTCTTGAGCTAAGCTCAACTGCTTCTCTTTCAGCACAGATGGCTTCGCTCCAGAATACTATAAAAAATTGGAAGCCCATGGAACAGAAAAAATCAACCGAGCAAGTTCTCTTGACTCAATCAAGTCAAAGTTGCTCCATTTGTGGAGGTCCTCATGAATCTGAGGACTGTAACAATTTGGCTGTTGTGTGTTATGCAGGTGGTTACGATAATAACAACAGTAGCAATGATAATTATCAAGGGAACAACAACCGGGGATGGAAGAGTCAGAATAATGCTGGAGGTAGTGGAGGAAACTACCAGAACCGACCCCCATATCCCAGGCAGAACCAGCAAAACTGGGATAAGGGTTAAGGGAGGTCCCAATCCTTTGAGACTTTTGTCAAGGAATACATGAATCAAAACAGTGCAGCCATGAGGAGCCTGGAGACCCAAATTGGTCAGTTGGCTGGAGCAATCAAACAGAGACAACCAGGGACACTCCCTAGTGACACAGAAAAACCGTCCCAGGAAAACCAGGAGTGTTGTAATGCTATAAGCTTACGAGATGGAAAAACTCTGCCACCTCCAGATTTAGTGGCACGATCTCGTAAACACGAACTAGCAAGACAACTTATGGAAGAAGGAGTTGAAGAAGCTACTGACCCTCAACCCCTTGAAGCTCAGACAGAATCAAGGGAGAAGGTCCATAACGATGATCTCACTGAAGTCACACCAGTTGCCACAACATCTGGAGCAGATGTTGGAGCAATGAAAGACAATGAACCAGTTTCAGTCCCAACTTAAGTTCCACCATGCAAAAGGATGAGTGAACCAATTGAGCCTCCTTTTCCACAGAGGTTAAAAAACAACATGAAGATAGGCAGTTTAGCAAGTTTTTAGACTTGTTGAAACAGCTTCACATAAATGTCCCTCTGGTGGAGGCTCTGGAACAAATTCCTTCATATGCAAAATTTATGAAGGACGTTTTGTCAAAAAAAAGAAGGATTGAGGAATTTGCGACTGTAGCCCTCACTGAAGAATCATGCAAATACCTGACTAAGATTCCTCCCAAACTGAAGGACCCTGGAATATTCACCATCCTGTGTACAGTTGGGAAGAACTACCTTGGTCGAGCACTTTGTGATCTGGGCTCGAGTGTAAATTTAATGCCAGTTTCTATCTTCAAACAGCTTGACATAGGAGCAGCAAGACCAACCACAGTCACTCTTCAGCTTGCAGACCGATCCATAGCCAAGCCAGAAGGAAAAATAGGGAATGTCCTTGTCCAAGTAGACAAGTTCATTCTACCAGCTGACTTCATCATCTTGGATTTTGAAGCAGACCAAGAAGTTCCAATAATTCTGGGTAGACCATTCTTGGCCATTGGTGATGCTGTCATAAACGTCAGGAAAGGAGAACTATCCATGAGTGTAAATGGAGAGGAGGTGAAGTTCAATGTCATGAAAGCAATGAAGTTTGATGTAGATAACATTGAGGAATGCTCTAGCATTTCAATTCTTGACTTGATCATAAGAGAAGAACAGCAGGAGCAGTTGCAGTCAGAAATAGGCATGAAGAACTTTGACGAATTGGAGGAATACCTT